CAAAAACAAGAGTCACATGCTCCTCAGACTGAGCCAGCCAGGTGCCCCTAGTGCCAAGAGATTTTTGGCATTTCGGCCAGCCTTGGTTGGAAGCTAAGACCAGGTTTCAGTGGACCGCTTCGGCAAACAGGACCACTCCCAGCTGCATCCAGGATCACCAACCACTACACACACGCGAGTTTTAGCCCAATGTGTAGTTGGGTCCCTCCTTTTCTTGAACTCCATCTTCACACATACTCCCCAGGTTTTTGTTGGTATTAATGCACAAGATCTTACAGTGTAATTCGTGTTGTAAGGCTTCTCTCAGGTCAGATTTTTATTTTTTTTATTTTTTATTCATTTATTTGACACAGAGAGAGAGAGAGAGAACAAGTACGTAGAGAGGCAGGCAGAGGGAGAGGGAGAAGCAGGCCCCCCGCCGAGCAGGGAGCCCGATGCGGGGCTCGATCCCAGGACCCCGGGATCATGACCTGAGCCAAAGGCAGAGGCTTAACCGACTGAGCCACCCAGGCGCTCCTCAGGTCAGATTTTTTTATGTATTTCCCTGGAGCCTGAGAAGATCTGGCTCTAGTTCTGGGCTCAGCGAGGTAAAGCAACTCACCCAAGGTCACACAGCTTGTAGGTGGCTCCAGAGCCTGAGTGCTTCACCATGGTACTCCCCAAACTTTGCTTTCAAACAAGCACTCTGCTTAGAACTCCCAAAGGATTCTTTGAGGGTCATGAAGCCCACCCCCTCCACCACCCCCGCCGCTGGGTCCCCTGCGGTGGGGAAATGGAGAGGGTCAAGGGTCACGGGTCAAGGTTCACAGGTCAGGGACAGAGCCAAGCTTTTTCTCTGCTCCTCTCAGTGCCTCCCTGGGCAAAGTCAGACCTGCGACTCTTTCTCTCCGAACCCTGGCTTCTGAGGAAACTGTTTCACATTTGCAGCCTGCTCTCTCCCAGCCAGGACTCGCCCCAGGGCTTCCTCCCCGTCCAGGCTCAGGGAGGTACCAGCATCAAAGAGGGTCTCCTTTCCCCTGCAGGGAAGTTCTGGCACATCTCTGACCTGCACCTTGACCCTGACTACAAGGTCTCCGAAGACCCATTCCAGGTGTGCCCATCAGCTGGCTCCCAGCTGGTGCCCAGCGCAGGCCCCTGGGGCGACTACCTCTGCGACTCTCCCTGGGTCCTCATCAACTCCTCCATCTATGCCATGAAGGTGATCGAGCCGGAGCCAGACTTCATCCTCTGGACGGGGTGAGAGCAACCACAAAAGCCACCCTTCACCGGGCCGCTGCTGGGTGCCACCTGCTAGCTCCCTTAGTCCTCATACCAGCCTTGATTCAGAGAGCATGGACCTGAAGCTCGAGGGACACAGCCTGCCCAAGAGACCGTGGGCCTGGCTGATCCCACGGTCCGTGCCCTTGACTCTGTGTCTCCTAGCCTTAGCAGAACGCAGCTCTCTCTGAGGCTGGGGACACAGTCATGGCACATCTGGGTATGTGGAGAACTCCTGGATTTTATTTTATTTTTTTAAGATTTATTTATGTATTTATTTGAGAGAGAGAGAGAGGGAGGGAGAGCAGGAGGAGGGGCAGAGGCAGAGGGAGAACCCCCAGCAGACTCCCCGCTGAGTGCAGAGCCCGACAAGGGGTTCGATCCCATGACCCTGAGATCATGACCTGAACCGAAGTCAAGAGTCGGAGGCTTAACAGACTGTGCCACCCAGATGCCCCAAGAACTCCCAGATTTTAAGTCAGGGGGATGAATACTGGGGCCACTCCCACCGGGGTTTAGCGATCCACATGCGGGGAGGGAAGAAGGTAGGGGGGCTGAAAGTGGTCCTGGCTGCCCTGGCCCCGGGGGTTGTCACTGGTCACAGCACCGCTCTGCCTGAGGATAGCTTGTGGGGTGGGTGATTTCTACTCAGCCAGACTCCGTTTCTGCATCTCATCCAAGGATGCTGCTGCGAGTCCTCCAACTTCCCTCAGAACTGGCTGTCCTTGCCCCTCGTGGTCCACCCTTCACTCACTAGCTCCTTTCTCCCTCCCTTGCTGGGCAGCCTGTCTTGTGCTCAGCCCCGGGTAGACGCTGGGGAACCGAGATGATACAAACCCAGACTGGCCTTCAAGGAGCTCCCCGTCTTGTGGGCGATGCAGACAAGCCCGCTGACCACTGTGTCCCAGCAGGGAGAGAGGGTCACTGGGGGATGTGGGAGCTTTCCAGGGCACCTGACTCCATCTCACAGGAAGTGGTAATCAGGGGGCTGGTGAGGAAGGCTGGCCGGCGCGCTGACTTCCTGCTCACTGGACACTTGTAGAGGGCAGGACCAGGCCCGTGATGCCCCCAGCTGGCCCTCAGTGTGGCGTGGGAGTGACCGGGAATGACCCTCAGATGGACCCTGCAGTTGGCAGGAATCAGAGATGTGACAGTGTCTCACAGCAGCTCGGGAATCCGTCTCAGAAGAGAGTGAGCTTTAGGCTCTGACCCTGAACTCTTGCTCCCAAGGGTGATCGTGCTCAGGGAGCCTCTGGATTTTCTGAGGAGGAACATTCTGAAAGACGGGATCCCTTTGGGAAAGGCGACTGCTTTGGGAAATTCAGGATCCTGTAACAGAAACACGATGTTTCTGGGAAATCTCTGGGACGTTGCAGAGACAGAGGACATTGAATGAGATGACCTCTGGGACCTTTTATAATTCAGTTTCTAAAAAGTTTGACTTTTCAGGGCGAGTTCAGTCCCTTAGAGGTAACCTGTAGAAACTGGAAGTGCTTTCTAAAAGAAAGAATTAGATCCTTCAAACTAGAAAAAAAGCGGGGGGGGGGTGGATTTTGTTTTGAGATCAAGAGTCAGATGCTTAACTGACTGAGCCATCCATGCGCCCCTCTTCTAAGTTGGATCCAGAAATTTAGGTTAGCTGAACAGGGGACTAAACGGTCCTAGGGCTGGTCCAGGATCTGCCGTAGAGATGAACTGTAAACGCTGATGCCAGCTCCCAACTCCTTAGGACCCTTGGGGAACGGAGCAGGACTCAGAGATGGCTTTTCCACCCCAAGCTCCCTGGGGACTTGCAGATGGGACTCGCGCCCCCAAGCTTCCCTCTTTACATAATACTACTACTTACAACGTAGCAGCTACTATTCTGCCTTTTATTTAATTTAATTTTTATTTATTTTTTAAAAGAGGAGAAGAATTTTATTGGAGCTCAAGTTAGGACAGCTGCCCGGGAAATACGCTCTTTACAAGGAAGAGAGTGGTCCCACTCGTCTACATTTTATATATATAATTTCCCCCGCTTTATTAAAATCTCACAAATACCGTAGGAGTAGGTACCATTCTTTTTTTTTTTTTTTTTTATTCTTATGTTAATCCCCATACATTATAGAGTAGGTACCATTCTTATCCCTACTTTACCGGATGAGGTAGTGGAGGCTCAGAGAGGTTAAGTAGCCAGCCCGGGGAACCACAGCAGGTCCCCGGCAGGGCCCGGGTTTGAACTCTGTCCTGCGTGACTCCCGCCTCCAGCCTGGCCCTTCCCTCGCAGGGGCTGCCGAGGGCCAGCTCCACGGCCTGTCTCCTCATGGCTGAGCTGTCCCTTCCTTTTCTCGGGGCCCTTCCTGAGCTGCCCACACGGAACCGGCTCGGTGGTGTTTTGCAGTGATGACACACCTCACGTGCCCAATGAGAGCCTGGGAGAAGCAGCGGTGCTGGGAATCGTGGGGCGCCTGACCGGGCTCATCAGAGAGGTCTTTCCAGGTAAGCCCCCTGCCGTCGGGGGTCTCCCCCCCGCCCGCCCCCGCAGCATTGCCTGAAGCCCAGGCAGAGTCTGGCCCCGTGGGGGTGGGACAGCAACGGCAGCAAGAGGTGGAGAAAGGACCGTCCACCACGGAGGACGCCGGCTGCTGGCCAGGTCTCACAGCGACCGATCGCGGAACGTGAGCCCTCCCTGGCCTGTGTTGCCACGCAGAATCCTATGGACGGAAACGCCTGACGTTTCGCTGCTTTCTGCCCAAGCCTGTTTTACAGCGACTCACAGCCCCTTCTCGGGGCACCGGCAGTTATTTACAGGCATCGTTCCCGGCGGGTCTCACGGGGACTCGTACGTGGCCCCAGAGCTGCCATCCAGCTCCCTTAAACCATCCTGGCTTCCCGGGGCCTCTGGGAGATGCTGATTTCCAGTCCAGGTACTGTTCTCGGTGCTTCCAAGGCCTTCCGAGCCCAGGAGAGCAGGCAGAGCCTGTGAGTGGTTGTGGCGGTAGTCCCATGGGACGTGACAGGGAGAATGGGATCTGCATGCCCCATCTAGCGCCCCTGAAAATGTCTTTAGGCAGGCTGTGCCGAACACAAGGTGCCAGGGACCGAATCAGGTCCTCAGGCTGTCAGCTGGGGACCTGTCAGAGCAGCCCGCTAGCCCCCACCCCCACCTCCTTCGGGTTCTGGGACAGGTGCATCCTCTAAAGGTCTTAGACATGGATCCGCAGGCCCTGGATATGGACTGATGATAATAGAAATAAATACTAGCACAGTAGTAACTGCATGTATCTCTGTACTGAGTGCTAAGCGTCAGGCGCTGCTCTAAGAATCTGATATGCTGTAGTTCATTCTCTGTTGTGATGCTCCTGGAGAGAAGTGCTATTACTATTTCCATTTTACTGGTGAGAAATGTGAGCCCAGGGGTCAAGCAAACTGGTCAAGGTCATGTGGCAAGGGCGGGGACACAAATCCTGGTTTGAGCACCACTGTGACCCACCACCCCCACCACCACTCCAGGGGGGGGCCCTCAGCTGCTGTCACCATCCCACATCTGACCTCGAGGCATCTGGCCTCCCTCAACGTGAATCATTTTATGCACCGTTGTCTGGACGTGTAGATAAGGCACCGATGGCTCAAAGCTAGTCAGTTCCTAGGGAGGGATTCAAACTCAGATCTGACTCTGAGCACTCTCCTCTGCTCCGCAGGGGCTTCTGGAATAAAAGTGAAATAATGGACAAGAAAATGATTTAAAGGGGCGCCTGGGTGGCTCAGTCGGTCAAGCGTCTGCCTTCGGCTCAGGTCATGATCCCAGGGTCCTGGGATCGAGTCCCGCATCGGACTCCCTGCTCACTGGGGAGTCTGCTTCTCCCTTTCCCTCTCCCTCTGCTTGCCGCTCTGCCTACTTGTGCTCTTTCTCTCTCTATCAAATAAATAAATAAAATATTAAAAAAAAAAAGAAAACGCTTTACAACCATGAGTTCACATACAAATGTAAATTAGAAGGTCCTCTCGTTTATAACACACTTGCACATTTATTGAATTTCCTAATATCCAAGATGCCATCGACTGTTAGATGCATTATTATCTTATGTATTGCTAAGGAAAAAAGTGCTGTTAGAGTATGACGGTGCTCTCTCGGGGCCTCAATGAGAAGTCACAGCCCACCTGTAGAGATGTTAAAATGAGAATATATTAGAACTGAAAGGACACATTATCTTAATTGAGAATTACAGCAACACAGGTCAAACAGAACACTCTCCATTTTATAGATAAACAAGCCGAAGCACAGAGACGTCAGGCAAATCGCTGGAGAGGAGGAAGGGACCGAAGCTCGAGATTTTGGGTCCACAACATGTGTCATGTGTTCTTCCTGCCATGTGCCACCTGCGTTCCCCATCAGAGTCACTGTGAACGCTGGCCCGTTTTCTCCAGCACAGCTGAGTGGCGAACGCAGGTGAACGCAGAGCCTGCTCCGCGTTCCGGCTGTTTTCCGGCTGGGCAACGCCCTGGAGACTCCGTTTCCTGTCTGCACAAAATGAGGAAAATCATGGTGCCTGACCGAATGGTTTTTGTGAGGATTAAGTAATCCACTCACTCATCTAGTCAACAAATATTTACTGAGTCTCTACTAGGAGTGAGATACCATTCTAGGAGGAGGGAACTTGGCCGTGAACTAGATGCCAGGTCGTGCCCGCATGTTTATGCTTGTAAGGGGCTTCTCACAGTGCCCGGCACAAAGAAGCAGTAAAAAAGGGGAAAGATTCCCTCCCTTCTCATCTGTCCTTGGAATTCCAGGGGTTTGTGTTTTTTCTAAATGGATCCTTTTTTTTTTTTTTTAAGATTTATTTATTTATTTTAGGGGGGGAGGGGCAGAGGGAGAGGGAGAGACTCTCAAGCAGACTCCCCGCTGAGCGCGACCCCAAGATCATGACTTGAGCCGAATCAAGAGTCAGACTCTTAACCGACTGAGCCACCCAGGCGCCCCTCTAAGAGGATTCTTAATGGCTGCTGGCATTTATATTAAAGAAGTGGTTTTTCCAGGCAGTGACAGAGGTGGTTTCTGGGTTGGCAAACAGTTCCTGATGGGATTCCGACCTCCTCCTTCTGCGGAGCTTTCAGCCCTCCCAGATCTTGTGGGCGCTCCAGGGCAAAAAGTTGGTGAAAACATCTTCCTCATTGGGAATTAGAGGCGCCCGCCTCCCTCATTGGTTCAAGGTCACTCACTCGCTGGGGAATGCCAAGCTCCTGTAAGGGCAAAACCCTACCCTGAGCTCAGAGGAGTTTTTGTTTCTCGTCAAACATTTATTGAGGAACTACTGCTCATCAGACACAGATGTAAAGGAAATGATCTGATGGGCTCCCTCCCGCTGAGGGGTCATTCACAAGCCACACTTCCTTCTCTGACCCCGACTCCCACCCTGACCCCCACTTCCACAGCAAGAGGCTCTTCCCTTTTTTGTGACAATCCTCCCACCCCTAATTATTCAATACCTGTCAACCCTACTGCACTTCGAGGCCCCTGGGACTGGGACTGGGTGCCTGGTTCCGGGGTCTATGTGTTGGCCCACACGAGGTGTCAGTAAACAACTGTTGAATCACGGAATGCGTGAAACTCCTAAGGCTCCCACGGTGAACCAGACCCCTTCCCCAACTGTAACTGGACCTGGAATGGACGAGAACACGAAGCACTGCATTACCAAGGGACTCAGAAGGGATGGGAAGGTTATGTGGATCTAGCTTTCTTCTTCCCGTCCTCTGCTGCTTCCTTACCACCAGGAAACTCTCTGCTGGGAATGGGGTTAGGAACTGGGATCGGAGAACTCACTGCTCTTCCTTCTCAGGTCTGAGCAATGTGCTGCCAGAATCTCCTGAATGTTGTTTTCTGTTTATCTCTGTATTTCGCTCATCCGTGCTACGGCTCTTCCCCATGGGCTCCGACGGCCAGGGGCAGCCTGAAAAGTACCAACTCCACTGAGCACTTTCACATAAATATGTTTATATGTTTCTTTTTCATCCCAGATACCAAAGTCTATGCTGCTTTGGGAAACCATGACTTTCACCCCAAAAACCAGTTCCCGGCAGGGAGCAACAACATCTATGATCAGGTAGCAGAACTGTGGAGACCCTGGCTCAGTAACGAATCCATCGCTCTCTTCAAAGAAGGTACTGACACCATTTGCAAGTATAAGTACTTCCTTGTCTGATCGAATTTTGTCCCCACCACGACCCCAGGAAATAGGTACTGATTTTATCCCCATTTTACAGATAAGGAGACAGAGGCTTGAAGATGTCAAGTCCCTTGGCCAAGATCAGCCAGCTTAGAGGGGCCGACTTGAGAGCAGAATCCAGGGCTGACTGCGCTGCCCATGCTCTCAACGGCTCTAACGAGGATCCTAAGTGACCATTTCCTGAGTATTTACTGGGTGCCAGGCACTACTCTCGGCACTTTTCAAGACTCCTCATGGAAATAAGGAAGGGGCAGGGTTTCCCACCCTTGGCACTGCTGACATCTTGGGCCAGATAATTCATTGTGGGGGCTGCCCTATGCATTGTAGGATGTTCAGTAGCATCCACGGATGCTGGATACGAGTAACACCCTCCATCGCCATAACCCAAAATGTCTCCAGACGCTGCCAAACGTTCCCTGGGGGACAAAATCAGCGGCTGAGAACCACTGATCCAGAGACACAGCCAGCCCAAGGTGACCCTGGCTACTCTCTTCCCTGTCCTCAGTCCCAGCGGGTCAAACCCAACCAGAAACCCGTTGATTTAGTCCACAGAGATCAGCTTCTGGGACAGAGAGTTGAGTGAACAGGGTTGACAGTGGATCTGGAGGGGCAGACGCATCTTATCGTTCTTCACATTATAGAAAGGGAGAAACTGAAGCACAGAGCGCTGAAGGCAAACTGTTCCCAAGCTGCACAGCTAGTAAGTGCTGGAGCCAGGACTTGAGCCGAGGCAGCGGGCCTCTGGAGCCTCCGCTCTTCTCACCATGCCCCTCCTACGGGAAAGATGGGAAGGGAGGACACGAGGGCTGGAGAAGGTGGGAGATGGAGGGCCACAGAGGCGTGTTCGCCCGAGGCAGGGACCCTTCAGATTCTACCTGGCTGTGACACCTTAGGTGCCTTCTATTCTGAGAAGTTGCCGGGACTGAGTGGGGCTGGGCGAATCGTGGTCCTCAACACCAATCTGTACTACAGCAACAATGAGCAGACGGCTGGCATGGCGGACCCCGGCCAGCAGTTCCGGTGGCTGGAAGATGTGCTGACCCGGGCATCCCAAGCTAAGGAGATGGTAAGGGCTCCCACCTCCACCTGCTACCTCTCTGGGATCACTTCCTGAACAAGTCTCCCACCTCTGCACAAACTCAGCCACTCACTCAAGGGGCCCACAGTGATATCGCTGAGGGTCCTTCATCAGCCTGGCGCCTAGAGGGGCCTTTCCCATCCTCACGGCAGCCTGGGAAAAAGAGAAGGGTACTCCAGGTGGCAGGCTTAGCCTGCGCGAAGGCACAAGGTGGGAAACCTGGTAAAATCGTCGCTGGGGCCTCAGAGTGCTGGCATCTGCCTGGGGGCGGGCTTTGGGGGGGACCTTGGAGCCTGTCTGCTTGCCTCTGGCGAGAAGGGCAGGTGTTGCGAGGTGGAAGTGAGGGGCCGGCGGGGGCACCCCTGAGCCCCTCCTGGGCACCCTTTCCTTGCAGGTGTACATTATTGGCCACGTGCCGCCGGGCTTCTTCGAGAAGACGGGGAACAAAGCGTGGTTCCGGGAGGGCTTCAATGAGGAGTACCTGAAGGTGGTCCGGAAGCACCATCGAGTCATCGCAGGGCAGTTCTTCGGGCACCACCACACCGACAGCTTCCGGATGTTCTACGATGATGCAGGTACTCGCCGTGGAGGACAGCTGCCTGCCCACCCCCCTCCTCCTCTTGCCAGCCTCTCTCTCAGTCCCACGGTCTCTCTCCTGAAAGATGCTCCCATCAGTGTCATGTTCCTTACCCCTGGAGTCACCCCATGGAAAACCACCTTACCGGGAGTGGTCAACGGGGCCAACAATCCAGGCATCCGGGTATTTGAATACGACTGAGCCACACTGAGCCTGCAGGTCAGGAGCCCGGGGTCTGCTGGGGCCGGAGGGGGAGGATGGGGAGGGACCTGAATGTATCACGGCCTTGCCTAACTCCTTCCAGCTAATCCACCCTCCTCTAGAGCTCAGGTTCCCTTGAGCCACTCCAAATCTGCAACCAAGTCAGGTCAATTCTTTGTCCCCAAATCTCCCTTCACCCTAGATCACAGCCTCCTACCTGGCCTCCCTACCTCTAGCCCTGCCCTGCTGTAGCTCATCTACTACATACTACAGCAGGCACTAATCTTTTTAAAGCACTTGTCTCTCTCCTGCTCAAAAACCTTCAATGCCTCCCCGGCGCCCACAAGATAAGCTGGATCTCTTTGGCCTGGTGTTCAAGGCCTCCTGCAGTGTGACCTCATGCCCATTGCCCACCTCATGCCTACACCGACTAGGCCTCAGCCAAAGCAGGCCCCTAACTCATCGAGCAACCCCTCATTTCGTGGGATGGGCTTGTGATTGCTGAAATGGCAAAGAAATAGTATTCCTTAATTTATTCAACAAAATGTACTAAGCATCTACCATGAGCCGGGCCCTGTGTTGAGCTCAGCAGTTATGTAAGTGAACAGTGACAAAGTCACCACTGTCCTGGAGCTGACGTTCTTACAGGAGACACACAATAAATAATAAGGAACGTTAAGTATGGCGTGGAGAGAAGCACTAAGGACAAAGCAGAGTGAGGGGGCAGGTGTGCCCGTTGTCGGGTGTGTGTGCACGCGCACGTGCATGCTGTGAGGTGGGTGGGACAGAAGTGTCACTGATAGGGTGACATGTGAATTCCGAGTAAACTGAGGGAGGGAGCCACTCGGGTATCCGGGGAAGGCGGAGGACAGAGCAAGTCAGATGGCCTGGGTGGGACTGTGCTTGGTGTGTCAGGCGAGAGCGAGGAGGTCGTGGCTGCAGAGGAAGGCACAAGGGGAGGGTGGGAGGGACGAGGTCAGATCCCATCAGCCGTGATTAGGACTCTGGATCTGGAGGGTTTGGGGCAGAATTAAATATTCTGACTTACAATATTACAAACTCACCCCGCCAGCTATGCAGAGAACAAGCTGTAGGGGGCAAGGGCAGAGATGGGGGTGGGGGGAGGGTGAGTTAGGAGGTGACCACGATAACCACCGAGGGGTGCCAGTGGCATGGGCCAGGGGGTGGCAGTGGGGTAGCGAGACACCCCAGATCCTGGATGTCTGCTGAAGGCAGAGAAGGCAGGATTTGCTGGTGGGCTGGATGAGGGTGTGAGAGAAAGAGAGGAGCCAAGCTTTGGCCTCAGCGCCTGGAGGGGTGAAGCTGCCCTTTACTGAACTGGGATCACTGTGGGACGAGCAGGTTTCAGAGGGAAGATCAGAAGTCTGGTTTGGGACCTGTTAACTTGGCGAGGTCTAAGTGGTGTCCCAGTGAAAATGCCCAGGACGAGGCAGCTGGGTATCAAGTTGGAGGCCCTGGAAGGGGAGGGTATAGAGATTTAATCGGGTGATTGAGAGAGGACACTTAAAACCAGGGACTGGATGGGATGACCTAGGTCCTTGTGTACACAGAGAAGAGGTCTGAGGTCTTTCAAGAGTGTGGCCTATTGTCCACATGGGCACTCAGAGGGCCTTAGCAGAGGAGTCACCAGCTGGTTCCCCATGCCCTCCACCCCCAACGTGCCTTCCCAGGAAAGGAGGCAGACAGGCCTGGGTTTGAATCCTGGCTCCACCCCTCATGAGATTTCTGACCTCTTCCTGCCTCTGCTCATCTGTAAAATGGGAGGAACAGTCCCTCACAGGGTTTGGAGAGCACTGAATGAAATAAGGTAACGTGCCTCAGGGGGAAGCTGCCCTCCATACATGGCAGCTCCTCTTAGCCCACGGCTGGTGACCTGAGGCAGGCCCACAAATTTAAGTGGAAAGCCTCGGACAGATAAGCCTTTCCAGATTCTAGTTCTGAAGATGCATCTGATCCTAGGAGTCTTGGGTGTATCTCAAACCCTCCTCAACCACAATTCCATAACCTCTTTCAGCCAGGCACTCCCTGACACTTCTTTAAGTTGCTTTTTATCCATTAATTCTGTAAATATTTACTGAGCTTCTCTGCATACCTGGGACAGAAAATGAGTAGGCCACGGAGTTAACAACCTGGATTCCAGGGGCGCCTGGGTGGCTCGGTTGTTAAGCGTCTGCCTTGGGCTCCGGTCATGATCCCGGGGTCCTGGGATCGAACCCCGCATGGGGCTCCCTGCTCCGCGGGAAGCCTGCTTCTCCCTCTCCCACTCCCCCTGCTTGTGTTCCTTCTCTCTCTCTGTCAAACAAACAAACAAACAAACAAACAAAAAAACCAACCTGGATTCCAAACCCACCTCTGCCACTAAACACCTGTAGGACTCTGGACAAATGAATTAACTAACCTCTTTAGGACTCAGTTTCCTCATCTGTGAAATGGGGGTAGTAAGTGCAGTTACCGCATCAGCATACCTGGCATACTCCGCAAGTAGGAAATGCTCACCAGCAGCAGTGATTGTTAGAGCTATAAAGAATCG